GTCAAAGCATGAATGGACAATTGAAAAAAAAAAAAAAAAAAAAACCAACCATATGCTGCCAACTTAATCTGTTTACACTTTCTTGTTTTCAACCCTGTTCAACCATCATTGGTGTTAAGTTTTATGCCTCCCCAAAAATTAATTTCATCAAAATACTGAAAAATAAAAAATGTAGTATAAATTTTGTTAAAACAAATTAACTCATTAATATAATCTCAAATTAAACAGTGAATCACTTCACTCAAACATCCTCATCCCACCATCAAAGCACATACTCATTCTAAATGCTCAAAATATCTTTTAGCAATTTCATTCCCAATTTCAAATTCCCAATTTGTTTGTGCAACCCTCTTCATCACGTAGCAATGATCGTCTAAATCGTACTCTCTTTCTTATTTACTCATATCATATTGCAGTTTCGAAAGATTACTCATATCATATTGCAGTTTCGAAAGATCTATTGTTGCCTTCCACACCATAATTTTCTTGAGATCCCGTGAAACTTATTTCATTCATAGAATAATATATGTCCAAAATCACTATAAATCCCAACTTCAAGCAATATCTGTCATAATACACACATAAAATCACAACTTAAGGGAGTTTCACTGTCTTAATATCCAGTATCTCGTTGTCGATTTTATTCCGCAAGTGGAAGGATCGTAAAAAGTAGTAAAGTGGACCTTTTGAGTCTAAATTATTGTTCCCACGAGAACTATATTTTAGTACTCAATTTATTATTCCTAACTTCTATTTAATAATAATAAGTAAATAAAAAAATAATTGAACTAATTTTTAAATCTAACTATTAGAAATTTCGTGACTGCAACAGAAAATCAGTGAAAATTCAATTTATAAATGGGGATTAGGGTGGAATAAATTCACCTATTGGTTATCTTTATTTCTAATATCGAGATTCATAAAATTAAAGTAGTGTTTAGTCGAATTCTTCTATTGTATTCAACTTCCCCTCTCGAGTTCTCGTTAAACCTATTTAATTAGTTCAATTTCATATCTCTATACAAATTAAATTTAATTAAACGAAATAAAAGTTCTAAGAATTCCTATATGACCGCAACAATTAATATATATATATATATATATATCTCTCTCTACACGTTATATTAATTTACCGAATTTTAATATATGGTCTAAACAAGAATCCGCATCTCTACGTAATTATTGTTCATGAAATCATTGAATAATTGGTCAAAAAATTCAAAGCATTAAAAATATAATTAAAATTCACACATAAAATATAAAAGAACAATAATCTCAAGTAAAGGATATAAAAGTCTCAAATCAGTTACATTGTTCATCCTAAAATTTAATTTAACTACGCATATTAATGAGAGGAAAACAAGAATTTATGGAAGATATCACCAGAAATTGAAGGAACGTGATTAATGTCCAATTTTGCTTCAGCCGTCTACTGCCTTTTTCCTAATTTTTCGTGTGTGTAAAAGTATATAAGAAAAACATGTAATTCTCTATTAATGGCAAAAAACAAAGAAAACTCATGTCTGTGTCAATCTCTTTTCCCTGCAAAAAGTGTTGGCTGCCTCAATTTTCTTCTCTCACTGTCCAAGGACTTCTCTCTCCAAAACTCTCTTCATCTCTGTGTTGGTATGTATTGTAAGGATTTTTAATTAAAGATGGGCTTGTATGTGTAAATAATTGTATGTTAAATTATAGGCTATCGAATTCGGTTGAGCCCATTTAAAGTGATCTAATAAGGTTTCGGTTTTGGGCTTTAATGTATCCAATTAAAGTATGGGTTTACATATGTGTAGAGACTGGGCCCTAGTCCTAATTCTATGATGGGCCGAATTAGGTCAAAGGGTTCTAACATCCCCAAATTGCCCACAAAATTCCGACAATCTAAAACCCTAATCTTCTCGTATTAGGACTAACATCAACCCTTTACCAGAATAAAAAAGAATCGCTAAACAAATCAGACCCTAAATTCTCGGTTCCTCGGATTTTTTGCTTTTCACTTGCAAAACAAAACATCCAACTCTCAATTAGACCTCGCGACTAAATCACGTACTAGAAATCTAAGATTTGGTAAAAGAAAACACCCCTTAAAATATATACACTGTAACAAAAGTAAGATCTAGCGAATACACTTCCATACTGTATTAAAATAAATAAATAAATTAGTCTTTTAGATTTCTGCAGCACATATGTATAAACGTTTGTGTTTGCACATACATAACTTCACGTTAAAACACTCAAAGAAAAGTAGAAAAGTACATACATGTTCTTTGTATAGATTCGTAAGTCACCAAGAAAATCCCTGTTTGGGGAAGGGGGATTCTGGAAGAGAAGAAACTGTAGAGAAGGATGAGAGTGACGAGAGAAAAGCGGCCGACTTTTTTTTATTATTATTTTTTTCCTTAGTCGAATTTTAGCATTACTTCGGGAGATGAAGGGGATGGGTGTTTCTGATGCTAAGTGGTTAGTTAGTTTTCCCATTTTGTAGGTTACTAGTCATGTGAATTGTCGTCCTTCATTAAAGTGGGTGTTTCAGATTTTCATCCCTTATTTCCTCTATTCTCCTACTTTTTCTTTTGACTTTTTTTTTTTTTTTTAGTTTTTTCTTTTTCGATTTTTCGATTTTCCTTTTTCCCTTTTTTACACAAAAGGGATCTGAGCGTCTAGACCGATTCATTTAAAGAAATTAAATTATTGCATTAACCATGTCAGATTCAGGTATGCTTCCGCTTTAATTGTTATATTTCTCGATGATTTAACATGAAAGATCCAGTATTTTAAAGTATNCTTTTTTTTTTGACTTTTTTTTTTTTTTTTAGTTTTTTCTTTTTCGATTTTTCGATTTTCCTTTTTCCCTTTTTTACACAAAAGGGATCTGAGCGTCTAGACCGATTCATTTAAAGAAATTAAATAAATTTGAAATTTTTTTTTTTATGACCATGAATGTCCTGGTCAGCTCGCGTGTATTTTGACTAATTCTACGAGGTCCTGAGATTTACAATCAGGTACTTACCTCAATGACCTTTAGGAGACTCGAACTAATGACCATTAGGGAGCAAATCAAAAAATTTATTTTTAATTACATGTTCTTTTAAACAAATAATTTTACACGTTGATTAATGACCATTGATTAGTTTTGATAAAAAAGATAAATTTATAATATATTCTAATAAAACTTGACTAAATATATAGTTGAAAAATTGATAAAAATTTTGAATCTCATAATATATATGATTGAAAATTAATTTTAGAAAAGGTGAATTCTGAAAAACGAGGTCAAAGAAGGACCTACTTTTAATCACATTATCTCAAAAAATTATTTTTTCACTTCAAATTATTTCTCCCAACATAGACTAGCTATAAATGAATCATGCTTCAAGTACAGGAAAAAAAAAAACTTTGACAAATAATACATGGGTTTCTCTCCTTGCACAGAACCCTGTGCACAGGGTGTGAGACATGGGGTGGGCCCCACATGTTTGTGGGGCCCACCCCATGTCTCACACCCTGTGCACACCCTGTGCACAGGGTTCTGTGCAAATAGCACGGCCCATAATACATGGCAGGAATTGATTGAAAGATG